AAAAATGGGTTTTACATTCAAAACCGTCATATACAATTCATCTAGTGGTAATCAGGCATTCAAACTAATACTTCATGGAACACTGTAACAAACACATATGTTAGAAAATATTGGATTTTCTTGGAAAACATACAAACTTTTTCACTGATTCATTAACAGGATTTCATTACAAAAACATGCTTATAAACTCACCAACTTAATGCTGATACTCTTTTCAAAACCGCTTGTATTCTCAGGAAATCAGTAGACAGGTATCCTCGCAGCTTTTGAGAAGACGGAGCATATTAGAGTCACGTCTTTATTTTTGCTACTTTTGATGTATATAAATATGAATCAAACAGATGTAAATACCTTTTTATATATATTCAATGTAATAGTTGTGTTTACTTTGATTACTATGATGCAATTGTTGTGATACTACATATGACGTCATCCACCCCCGAACGTTTCCGCCGTTTCGGTTTGGGGGTGTGACACTTTACGTCCATGCATGTCACCAAGAGGCTTCAAAGCTCAAAGAAGGCTTAATAAGGGACCTAAAGCATGAAGGGGGCCTAGAACTTGATAAAGCTTGAAACTTTAAGCCCAAAGAGGCCACAAAACGTCCAGATCTGAAGTAATAACTTCATGAAATGCCCAATCCCAAGAATGATCCCAAAATGAGCCAAAAATGACAATAAACTTCTAAGGAAGAGATCTAAGCAATAGATGAGAAAGTTTTCAACTTTTTACCTAAAAAGAGTAGCTAAACTCAAGAAGATTCTGGATCTAAAGCTTCCCCCCCTTCAAGCTATGTACCACCAACTTCAAGCTCTTCAAAAGAACACCAAGAAAACACTCTTCAAGCTCACACACACTCAAATATGGGAAAGAAAGTACGAGACTAGGGTTTCTGGACAGGGGAGACGGGTAAGGAGGCCACCCAAAGGATATAAGGCCTTTAAATAGGGTGCAACACCCTAAAAATTAGGGTTTCTTAATCAGCCACCAACTCGTCGAGTTTTCCTCTCCAATTCGTCGAGTTGGTCCATAAATATGCACGACCCAAAGACTTTCAACACGTCGAGTTGAGGCCATAAACTCGACGAGTTCCAAGGAAAAAATGGCCTTTTTAATGAAAATTATCATACCTGGGAATCGGGATGATACAATGCATTTCTATTTTTTTCGTCATGACAAATTTTTTTGTTAAGTTGCTCACCATAACAATAAATTCTAGAATTACGTATGCACGATTTGCAATTATCACGTAAAATTTAATGGTTTATATGTGTTTCAGGTAAAAAAATACAATCTTATCCCTATGAACTTGATGCTATGGAAAATGAAAACTATAAGGATATTTTTTGGAACTCCTGCTAATGTACAAACATGTAATAGCAATGTAGTTGTACTTTTTTTTAACCAAAAATAGCGATGTATCACCCATTAATCCAACCCTTGCAAAGTGGGGATACTTCACTAGTTATATTTAATTGAAACTTATGAGACTTAATTAAATAAGATTAAAATTTCTAAATTATATTTGCTCAATTAAATGAATAATGTAATCATCTAATGTCTAATCCAAATATTATACCAAAATCTTTCAAACCAATTATTAAAAACTTAATTGTGTGTCTCAAATATGTTGTGTGTATTTATTTATATAAGAGTGTATGTGTAACGTCCCATTTTCACAACAAAAAATTTTCATTTTTATTTAAGTAAAACTTCCCGATTATAAATCCATTATGAAGAAAACGTTTATGTCAGATACATTTATTAAAACCAGAGTAATATTTAAAACGTGGAGTTTTCATTGCTACTGATGGATGTGTACAGTCACGCCTTCGCCTTTCAGAGATAACTGATGATACCTGAAACAATCAACAATTGGGTAAGCATGAAGCTTAGCGAGTTTCCCCCAATATACCCCATACAATAAACATACAAGCATGCATCAGGTCCACTCAACCATCGGGTTGGAATACCCAGGCCCAGTCAACTTCCGGGTCTAGTCATCCTCATGATGGAATACCCCAAGGTTTGTTGGCCTACCACCTCAACCCAACTGCTCTACCAGAGCCTCCGTGCCTTCGGCTTACAGCCAGCCCGCAACGGGTATCTTGGCCTACAACATAAAAGTAGGACCGAAACAAACAAGGATAAAGTAGGCACATAATACATACACACAACAATCATACAGCTCACTCCTGCCTAATAGTCCTCTCATAGCACACAATACCACTACCAACTAACCTCCATGATATACGTAACCATAAGTAGCCAGAGGTGAGATAGCCACTCGAACAGATGATCCTACTCTAGAGCCACAACCAAACAAGAAAGCAAGAAATCCTAGAGAGTTCTCAGGCTATCTTACATGACCACATACAGTCCCTAGGGCACTCCACTAGATGATAACTAGCAAGTACATATAACATATAGGTCCAATAGTGCACCATAGCATAACAACATCCTATATACCAGGATACCGATCTAACAGATCACTACAACATAACAACATCCTATATAACATGATACCGATTAACAAATCACTACACCATAACAACATCCTAAGTATCAACAATCCAAGGGATGCATGACTGTATATATTTAGAGGTGAGATAGCCATCCGGACATGTGGTCCTACTCTAGAACCACAACCAAACAAGGAACATGTAAGATAGCCCAGACCAAGAATCCTCAGTCTATCCTACATGACTATATACAGTCCCTAAGGCATCCTTCTATTGAAAGATAACCAAAACTAGTGGGCCGACATTGGTGTCTTCGACCCACGGTACAATGAGGCTAAACTCACCTAAATCAAGGAACTTTGAACACTGCGATATGACCCATTTTCAGCACTTCTTGCTCCCGCGAATCCACTAACACCAGAACCAGATAGAATCTCAATCAATAGCCCAAAAATCCTCAAGTTTAACCTAAATTCAAACTTGGTCAAAAAATCAACGGTCAACGAAAGTAAACGGTTAGTAGGCCCTCACGACGTGACCATCTATGGCTCACGTCGTGAGCCACTACAGGACAAGATAATCGAGTCTGACCACCCTCACGACGTGACATGCATCTTCCACGTCGTGAGATCCGTCTGAATGCCATATTTCTCCAAAACTTCTTAATCAATTAAGCCACTAATCCATCTGTTCCAGGAGGCTTCCTAACACTCCAACGATCATAAAAATCGATGCTTTAAGGTTTTGTATGTCCAATAAAAGACATGAGCTCAAAATGGGTCATTCATGGAGAAAAAGAGGATAAATTGTAATGCATGAACTCCAACATCATTTAAACTTCAGATCCATGACATATAAGCATTTAGGGACCCTAAGGACCCATAAAGTTGCCAAATTTATGGAGTCCCAACACTCTAACTCTTATTATCTTGGATAAATATGCATAAAACCTTAGATCTAACAACAAGGAAACATAAAGCTTGGATATTTATTACTCATATTGGTCCATAAGGGTAGCTAAATGCAAATGAAACTTCCAAGCTACAACTATGCTTCCATGATGATTCCTTCCTCTTCAAGTCACCAAAACTCCGCCTAAAGCTCAAGAAACACAAAGAGAGGCTAGGGTTAGGGTTTTATTGAGTTTAGGGACGAATGAGGCTGGTTTGGAACCCTAAAATGAAGTTTATGGGGGTTTAAATACGATGGAAACCATAAAAGATCATGGGCTTGGGCCGCAACGCATCTCACGTCGTGAGCTCTTAATGCTCACGTCATAAGCTCAGTTTAAATCAAAATCTTTATTGATCACTTCTCACGTCGTGACCCTTCAATGGTCACGTCATGAGCCCAAATTTTATCCAAAAACCAGGCCTTTGACTCCTTGAAGCATAAAGTTGAATAGATCTGGAAATGAGGTGTTACAGTATGTTATTTTTTCTTTACGAACATATTAATCAAATATATAATACAAAGTTATATATTTGAGACAACAATTTCATAATTATATTACAAACTTAAGGTTGTAGAATTTTAGTTTGCAACAATTACGTAAATACACAATGTAATTGCAACATATTATAAAATTAAGTATATTATGTCAATAGTTCAAAATTTATGAAACTAATAAATTAAGCATGTTTATTAAAAGTTAAATAGTTAGCTTTAAAATTAGAATAATAAAGAAGTTTAATATTTTATAACTTCAAATTAATGTGGTTGCAGATAAATGCATTATCAATGAAAAAAAACTACAAATACAACATCCACATTTTTTTTTCTCAAGAAACAATACATATAGGAACTAAAAAAATATATATACACAATAAAAGAAATGATCAAACTCCTATTTAGTTACATTCAACATTTTCATCGTATAATTTTCATATAACAAAAAGAATATATAACTTTTAAGAATATTGACATGAACATAATGAAAACCATTAACAAATGACTTAGCTTATACAAATTGTTAGCTTGAAAAGTTGTACCCATCTCTTTCTCGTTCGATATAAATAAATGCATCACAAATAGATCTTTTATATGTTCTCAAATCATATTTCTGTCCAAATCATTCTCTAAACACTATCAATATAATCATGTATGCATATAAATTATATATATATCTAATAACAATTCACGCATCATAAATACCAATTAAATATTATAAGTTAATTTTTTTATTGTATTGTCATTCAAGTCATATAAGTTGAAGATTTTGAGAATTTTAAATCAATATGATTCAATAATAACAATTCACGCATCATAAATACCAATTAAATATTATAAGTTAATTTTTTTATTGTATTGTCATTCAAGTCATATAAGTTGAAGATTTTGAGAATTTTAAATCAATATGATTCAATAGATAACCTATCTTGAAATATATATATATATATATATATATATATATATATATATATAAATTATGAATCTTATATGGTTTGTTGATTTAACAATTCACTATCCACTTTAACAACCCAACCCCCACAAAAAAAATAAAAAAATAAAAATAAAAATATTCTCACAAGTAGATGCACAAGACAATAAAGAAAAAACACATTCAGAACCAGTTCAATACTCTCTCTCTCTCTCCACCAGCAGTCATCGAAATCGAAAAACCCAAAAGCTGTATACGAATTGACATTTATAATTTGATGCCATGGATAGACTTGTGAAAAACTACGAACTCAAAGCTTGCGGAATAGTGTAACAAAGCCCCTCTGACTGCTTTTCTGCTGCTGTTGTTTTTGTTTCAACCAAGAAATAGAAATAGTTGACCTCTCTCTCTACTCTACATGTCTAGAATCACATGGGTATTGATTTTGGGGGGGAATTTGGATCCGGAGAGAAAAAGGAGCGGTGGGTTGAGAACTAAACAGGCCGGAAGAGGGTCGTGCCGGGGCAGTTAGAGTTCCGGAATCAACAACTTGTCTTCTCTCGTTATCTAGACCTTCCTTCTTAATCTCACTCCTGGTTTCGATATGGGTTATCTACTAAAAGAAGCATTGAAAACCCTATGCGGTGTCAACCAGTGGTCATATGCTATTTTCTGGAAGATCGGCTGCCAGAACCCTAAGTAAGTTCCCCTTACTCGCTCTTCAGTTGGTTTCTCTTTTGTTTTATTGTATACTTTTAGGTTATTTTTTCTGCTAATATTATATTATCGTATTTATTTTAACCAAGTAGCGTTTTAGTTGTCTTGACTCTTGAGGGCATGGAAATTAATCCCCTACCTATAGGTTAGTTCCTTTGGTGAATCATGTCTGGTGGAATTTGGTAATAATTTTGCCATTGATTCTATATGGGTAGAGTGTGTTTGTCTTGTTTATAGCTTTTTGACTGTGCTGTGTTTGGTCTTGGATTCATATGTTTAGATTGTTTTGTTTTGTCGTGGTGCATCTTAGTGTTATTGTCTATTTTTGTTTGTATTGTTCTCCTGAGTCCATGTGTTGTAATTCCATCTATGTTTGCAAGGACACTAGACAACGGTACAAGGGTACTTTCATTGATTTGTTATTATAGCATCCTACTTTTTCATTAACCCAATAATAGCAATGTCTTAGTGAGAAAATAAATTCAAAGGACAATGCTCTAATAGAAATAAATGGTAGGATGATGCTATAATACACAAATAAAATCAAAGTACATTATCATTTCTAGCATTTAGCCCAATTTTCAAATGATTGTGATATGCGATATACTAATTGTTGTTTACTTGCTAACTATTAACTTCTCATTTCTTATTGTAGATTTCTAATATGGGAAGAATGTTATTACGAACCTGTTATATATTCAAATGTTGGACATGGAGATGGAGGGAATAAAGTCCACTTGCTCGTAACCAAAATGATGAAGGACAACTACATCAATCTTTTAGGAGAAGGGTTTGTCTCCAAATATATATATCTGTATATATTATGTAGTTTGTAATTTCCTTGTTTTTATCAATTTTTTTTAGATTGGTTGGGAGGGTTGCATTCACTCGAAATCATCAGTGGATTATCTCGGATAACAAATTGCAATTGCCAGGTGTCCATCCACCGGAGGTATATACCGCATTATTCTGAATACCAAGTTTAGTACTTGTCTTTAAAAGAAAGAAATTCGGACAAATCAAATGTCTATATGCCTTACAGGTATCAAATGAGGTGTTTACACAATTCTCGGCTGGCATTCAGGTAAAGTAATTTTAGGTGCTTTTTCTTTTTGACTTAATGCAGTAAGAACAATTTAATAGAGAAGGTTAGGGAAATGAGGCTTTTGCTTTTCTATATTGGTTCCTAACTTTGACAAATTTGGCCTCCTTAATTTTATTCCTCCATTTCGTCAAGTGTGTTGTCATTTTCTCAAAAGATTTTTTGCACATCATGGGAAAAATGATAATATTGTACTGTATTTTTGGTAACAGACTATAGCAGTTATTCCGGTTCATCCTCATGGGGTTGTTCAACTTGGTTCATCATCAACTGTAAGTTCATCTTTATTTTTTATGTCATATTATTTAGTGATGCATCCTTAATAATGAGAGCTGAATGCAGGAAATAGCAATGTACTTTCATTTATTATTATTATAACATCCTGCTTTCTTTTTCTTTTTCTTTCTATTCTAGCACCTTGTCATTGTCACCAATTAGTTTTCTTCTTTAGGCATTGTGCATTGAAGAATCTACCGATTATAGCATTGTACTTCCATTTTTTTCTTTCTTATTAGGACATTGTAAGTTGGAAATTCTGCCCAATTATAGCAGTGAGAGTTGCTTTGTACTTGGATAACTTTGCTATTATTCGGTACAAATTTTTTTTTTTTAAAATTTTGTAAAACAAATAATGTAGGATGTCATTGTACACAGGTACGTGAAAGTACATTGCTATTAAGTTAGAGCTAAATGCAAGAAATAGCAATGTACTTTTATATATGGCATCCTACTTTCATTTCGCTCCATTACATCAGTATACTTCCAAAATTTTGTTATTAAGGTATTGTAATTTGTAAAATATACGGAATTATAACATTTTAGGACCTTATACTTTGAACAATCTATCCAATTTTAGCAGTTAAAAAGTCTTTGTATGTGGACGAGATTGCTATAATATAATTGGGTAGATTTTTCAAAGTACAATGCTGTCATGGGAAGTAAGATGCTATAAATAAACAAATCAATAAAAACACATTGCTATTTTTTGCATTTAACCTTAGAAATTACATATAATAATGTTTAAATATGTGAAATTTGATGATTTTTGTTGATGTTTAGATTATGGAGAATGTGGGATTTGTGAATGATGTGAAAGGTTTAATTTGTCAACTTGGATGTGTTCCCGGTGCATTAATATCAGAAAACTACATGAAAAGAGAAGCGCCTACTCATTCATCGGGAAGCAGTGGGCATAGTTGTTTCTCTTTTAGTAGGCATGTACATACTGGAGATGGTTTGACTTTGAAAAGTCAACAAATTGAAAAGATCCCCTGCTACGATCAAGAAGTTGGTTTTGGCTCATTTTTGGGCAACTATCAGCCAATGGAGCAACGTATTTTATCAGAAGGAGATCATCATCATCATAATATTCATATTAATCACACTCCACCTCATGCTCACTTCTCTGGTAAGGCCTTTATTTTACTTTGTCTCCATGAGTTTAAAAAAATATTTTGAGAAAATGACAGCAGACTTGGGGAAATGGAACTGTGGAAAAACAACGAGGGCAGATTGGTAAAATGTTGGAAGGTTTTTCTCTGTTATGTTGTGTCATTGATACGAACCCATCCCATACCAGGCCCGTATCAATATCATGGCATAAGCCCAAGTGTAGAACAGAACTCACTCCAAAAGCCAGCTTGTAGGAGGAGGAGGAGGAGGAGGAGGAGTGGACACCTAGACTTACTTATAAGCCACCAACTTATAGTACTGTGGGATCCTAACAGTCATTCTTTCTTGCATTAAGTCAAAAAGATCTTGGCTGTGACCGCATAAAATGTTGTATGCATAAGATTTGTTTCTTTTCTAGACTGAATGGCCATTTTACCCTTAGACTGAATGTTGTATGCATAAGATTTGAAACTAAATGCCATTTTACCCATAGTTACATTCCAAAAGAAATCTCACAATATTCTTTACATTTAACATAAGAGGAAAAAAGAAGTAGGTCTGTCTAAATTCTAATATGTAAAGGTTTAGTGTCTTAATACATGAAGCTTCACCCATTAAGTATTAAGTCAAAAACAAAAAGCCATGTTTTGTATAGCTACCAGATTTAATGCATAACCCATTAATCTCATTAACTTACAAAGAAAGGGCAGGATGTCTGTCTGGATAAATCATGTTTAAGTTTTTTTTGACAGACACTAAACAAGCTTTTTAGTGATATTTTTGATGATGAGTCACTGTCCTACTTTTTGCAAATTTTGTGACATTAACATCAGTTGCAAACATAATACAATGAAACGATACTACTGGGATTTAAGACACTTGATCTTGCAGGCAAGCAGGTGAATGGAAAGCTGGAACATGAACTATTTGAAGCTCTGTCTATGACTATGTCCTCAGAAGCAGAACATTTAAAACCTCCAATTCCATCAAGGGACGACTTATTTGATATCGTGGGTATGGATTTGAATGGAAATCAGAATAACTGGGCTTATGAATATGAAGGAGAATCCAATAATAGCAGCAGCATTATTTATTCATCGATAATACCTAACGACCATCTTTTAGATGCAGTCGTCTCGAAAGTTCCCTCATCTTCAAAGCCAATTATTACAGATGATAACATTAACATGGGATCCGAAGGGATTAATTTGATGCAAAGAGACTACTTGGTGGGTAATGGGAATACTAACTCTTCTATCATCTCATCACAAATCGGTTCTTGGACTGAAGATTTGGGAAAAACCGAGTATGCTAATAATAAGAGTAAGAGGCCCGATGATGAAATTGGGAAATCCAATCGTAAGAGGCTTAAACCGGGACAAAATCCCAGACCCAGACCCAAAGATCGCCAGATGATCCAAGATCGTGTAAAAGAATTAAGAGAAATCGTCCCAAATGCTGCCAAGGTAATTTAAAAAAAAAAAAAAAAAACAAACTTTTTTCAATAGCTTCTTATTATGTTCTAGTTGCATTTGAGAAAATGAGGGCACATTTGGGAATAGAAGAAAAGAATAATAATAAATAAAAAGTTAGGACTAATGATTTTCTTACTTACTGTGGCAATGCTATCCAAAATGCAAAGCAATCTTCACTGTTACTAGATTTTTCAAAGTAGCAAGGGAAAAATTGGAAGTACAATACTGTTATCAGATAGAAAGAAATGAAAGTAGGATGCTGTAATACACAAATACGCTCTTATCTCACTTGCTTTTTATGTACCTAGTTAAAAGGGAACATTCATAAATAGCTGATAAGCTTAAATCTTGTCCCTGTCCCTGAAGTTCATTAAGTAAAAAAACAGAAGCTACCATACCAAGCTTCTGGTGGTTGTTGTTGGTTTGGTGCAGATAATAGAAATCTTTTTTATGTTGTGTTTGTTTATAAACAGTGTAGCATCGATGCTTTGCTAGAACAAACCATCAAGCATATGCTTTTCTTGCAAAGTGTTACAAAGCATGCAGACAAGCTAAAACAAACAGGGGAATCCAAATCCAAGGTATTGTATAATGGATTCTTGTTTTATGTTACCACCACACAACACAAGCTTTCGATGGCGGCAAGGGCATCCATGTGTTTCAAGTGTAAGTTTTTGTGGCAATTAATTGTTGTAGATTGCAAGCAAGGAGGGTCAGGGTGGGGTATTACTGAGTGATAACTTTGAAGGAGGGGCAACATGGGCATATGAGGTTGGTTCACAATCGATGGTGTGCCCTATTATAGTGGAGGATCTGAATTCCCCTCGTCAAATGCTTGTGGAGGTATGGTATACAGACAGCCTGCCTGTGTATATATAATGTTCTGTTTTCATATATCATCATCATCATCATCATCATCATATATATATATATATATATATATATATATATGTCTGTGTGTTGGTTATGTGGTAGATGGTTTGTGAAGAAAGAGGTTCATTTTTGGAGATAGCAGATGTGGTTGAAGGATTGGGATTGACAATCTTGAGGGGGGTAATGGAATCTCGGAATGACAAGATATGGGCCTACTTTACTGTAGAGGTAACCTTGCTTGGCTTACCTTGGGAATGTTGTTGAATTAGAATTAGTTTGATATGATATTATCTGTGTAAGCAGGCTAACAGGGACGTGTCAAGGATGGAAATATTTATCTCGCTTGTTAGCCTTTTGGACCAATCTGCAAAAAATGGGTCCAGCGGGAAAGGGAATGAACAATCTTTCCGGCAAGTGACCATACAGTAATGTCGTGGCTGCTGGGAGATGTTGAGAGCAGCTAGCTACTCTTCTGCCATGACCGACATCGATCGCAGCCTGGTTTTCTTGTCAGCGAGACTGACTGAATAGAATAGAATAGAGTAGAATCTTGTGTAGCTTTATTGCCTGCCTGCATGTGTAGATGGATTATCATGTATTGTATTGTATTTTATTGTATTCATTGCTTGGTTGTGTCTGTTTGAAATAGTTTGCTCCTTGTGTTTTCTACTCAACGCTCATCAGACTGACTACTCATTTAATGATCTCACTTAATGATCCTGCACTTAATATACTAACTAACTTGACTTGATAAGTCTTGTTAGAGTCAACGTTTTAAAAACTGGTCCGAATCGGCCGGTCCGGAACCAGTCAAGTGAGCGGTTCGACTAGCACCGGTTTTATGCTTATTTTTGGACCGGAACGGCCGATTTTTACAAAAAACCGGTTGAACTGGTTAAACCGAATAAAAACCATGGATCTAAAAGGCGTATCATGGCGCTAGGTGTAGTGTAGCCGTTACGAAAACGTCTAAGGCGGGTTTGTTAGGCGTGACATCCAAATAACGTGTCAAGGCGCGCCTTAGCGCGATATGGAGCGAGTTTTTTTCAAGGCATGGTTTCTTTTTTTTTTTTTTTTTTTTTTTCTTATTCGGCCTATAAAACAATTTAGTTTTTGTTAAATTTTTTCATATTAAGTGTTAATATAACACTTCTAAAAACTTGATATATTTGATATAAATATATAATTATGTGATTTTTTTTAATGTATATAAAAATTTCACGCCTTGAAAAATATTGTGGCTCGCCATGGCTGGAGGCTTGACCTTTCTGCCAAGCTACGTCTCACAACATTTAGAACCTTAATAAAAACACATTGAAATGAAGCAATTTGTATAAGGGATAATGACTTAAAAGGGTAACATATTATTCGATTTGTATATATTTGGTCACTGAGTTTTTTTTTCGTCCACATTTACCCTTTAAACTTGATAAACTGTACACATTCAGTCCCTATGACCTGTTACTCCAGGTTAGCCGAGAAAAATGACTTGATAGGGTAATATATTTTTCATTTTGTACACATTTAGTCCTTAATATTTTTGTACATATTTAGTCCTTAACATTTTTTTTATTTCAAAATAAGTCTTTTTTTTTTGTACTCATTCGGTACTTATGAATGATTTCTTTAGGTTTTTTTCACGACATCTTACGTTAGACAATCATTGATGAGGTGTTTGGGGTTGTTGATGCTTATGTCCAATGCGATCTTGACTACTTGGTGGTGTAAATCTTGTGGTTTGGCTTAGGTCTTGTATTTTGAACATCGCAACTTCTTCATACGATATCAGATTTTAAGGATCTTTATCAACGTGTTCATTTTTTGAGTCTACTACAACTTTCATTAAGATTACTCCCGTTAAAATGTAATATATTTTTACTAACGATTTTATTAAAAAAATATACATACATGCATTCATAAAAAACGTATGAACAGGGGAAGACGCAATAATACATAGTAGGTGTTGCCGAGATGAAATAGGTGTTGCCGATACATGAAAAATAGGTATAAACGTAAAAAAAAAAAAGCGAAAAATCTTCCACTGCAAACAGAAAAAACAGGTGTTGTCGGTGCAACACCGGGACCATACTAAATCCGCCACCGCGTATGGATATAAAAATCGTAAGTAAAAATATATTATTTTTTAATGGGAGTAATCTAAATGAAAGTTGTAGTAGACTAAAATACGAACGCATGGATATAAAGATCGTTAAAATCCGAGATCATATGAAGAAGTTATGACGTTCAGAACACATGATCTAAGCAACCAAGTAGTCGAGATCGCGATGGATATAAGCATCAAAAGCCCCATACATCTCATTAATGAATGTCCCATATAAGATTTCGTGAGAAAAAACTAAAAAATCATTAATAAGTACTGAATGAGTACAAAAAAATGACTTATTTTGCAAAAAAAAAAAAAGGACTAAATGTGTACAAAAATATTAAGGACTAAATGTGTACAAAGTGAGAAATATATTACCTTATTAAGTCATTTTTACCGGGTAACCTGGAGTAGCCGGTCATAAGGACTGAATGTATACAATTTAACAAGTTGAAGAGGTAAATGTGGATGAAAAAAAAACTCAGTGACCAAATGTATACAAATCGAAAAATATATTACCCTTTTAATTCATTATCCCTTTGTATAACAAACCTTGGTGGGTTTCACATTTATTTAGATTTTTTTTAAATTGAATAAAAATATATGGTAAATGTTATAAAATCTTTTTGAAACGTGTGTATTCATCTAAAATTATATTTTGTTTTGGTATTATATTATATTTTCTTTTTGATTTGTATGGATTGATGTAAAATTTATGGTTATATGTTTTTTTAATGTATTTAGAATAATCTACAATTTGTTTTTATGTTTGTGTGAGGGAAAATAAGAAAAAAAAACATGAAATATTTAGAAAACTGGTTGAACCAACGTTCGAACCGGTTAAATCAACATCAATTACCATATCAGTTCAATTAAAGAACCGATTTTTAAAACACACCACATAACAAACATAACTATGGCCCAAAAAACCTCTCACATTGTCCAAATCAGTGTGTCCGGTCAGGATGGGTCCACCTTTTAAAAAATAAGCATTGTTAACTTGTTATAATTTACAAAATGTTATATCATTCGATGTTTGATATACAAATAATAAACAAATAGAATACTCCAATTTTTTTATTTCTTCTTTAAATTACAAAAATGCATTCTTTCTAACTTCATATTAATTAAAATAAATTACAACTTTTGTCGAGGTTTATATAAGCTTGCTTTTAGAGGGTGTTTGACATAACTTTTAAAATGACTTTTCATTTTTCTCTTTTTCTAAAAGTCAAAAAGATGTTTGGTAAAATGAAAATGACTTTTGTAATAAACTTTTTCAATAGAGGAAACCGTGTCTTTTTGAAAAGTCACGTAAACGTGACTTTTCCAACTTTTCAACCACTTAAAACATTAAATTACATTTATACCCCCAACTACCCTAATCAATTCATCAATTCAACCACTTAAAACATTAAATTACCTTTATACCCCCCAGCTTCCCTTCAAAAGCTAATCCAAACACATTTTAAAAAACAACTTTTGTAAAAAGTCCTTTTACAAAAAATATTTTTGTCCCACAAAAGCTAAACCAAACACCCTCTTATTCAAGATGTGGAATATGAAGAAATTCAGGGTGTTTAAATTTAGGGTTTGTTGAATATGAAGAAATTGTTAAGACAATAGAAAATAACTTTTAAAATGTGCATCATTAAGTCGAAGGGTCGAGAGAAAACCTTGCAATGACGTTAGGTTGTAAAGGCAACTTCAATCTCGCTCCAAATCACATATTTTGTATAATTTTCTCCTCTCCAACATCACTTCATTTGTTATATCACTAGGTGTGAGACCCGTGTGCCATATAGGTTGATTAGAAAAAAAAATTGTAAGTAAACTGTATGTAAACTAATTAAATATATATTACATTTTTAAACAATATTATTCCAAACATACAAATTGGGTAGGTTTCAAACAAATATTATTCCAAACATACAAATGATAAAATGCGTTGCCCATATTATATCGAGAGTAAGGTTTTCTTCTAATATTTTATTTCAAACCTTTTACACATACATAGGAACCTTGATCTAACAAGACCAACCACCAGACAAAGGTGAACTCATACTTGTAGATCTTTAATACTCCCTCTGTCCCAAAATTATAGTCTATCTTTCCTTTTTGGTTTGTCCCAAAATAATAGTTCACTTCTAAAAATAAATAATATTTTTACCAAAATACTCCCTCATTATTACTTAATCAACTAAGCATTTAATGGAACATTAAATGCAAAGTAAGGACAAAACTGTCATTTTATTGTATAAAGTTAGTGGTAATTATTACCTTTTTGGTCAATTTGGTAATTTTGACCATTTTTCCTAATTACAGTTCTTCAGTTTGGACATTTGTGACACTTTAAAAAAACATTATAACGATAAGAAGAACTGAAAACAAATTCTTTAGAAATGGTCATTTGGTCCAACACAATAAAAACAAACAAAGTTAATTTATATAACAACATTTCATTTTCATTTTTCTCCTTAAGTAGTAAAATTTTATAATTTTTTTTTCTAAAAAAAAGCCCAAAATTAAAATGATCCAAGAAGTTCGCATAGGAAGAATGAATTAGGAAACTTAAATTTCGTCCTGCCTTATGACAAACATTTTGGGATTCTTCATAAATGAGAGGTTTTGTAATGTAGATGTAGAAGTGAAGTAAATGTTCTGCAACTCATTCATGTCATTCCTAAGAACAACTTGTGACAAGTCAACATAAGTCTCTTATTCACATCAAGAGTTAGCAACACCTAGAAAAATGCACATGAGGGTACAAAAATTATATTTTTTTTACGAATTTCATTTCATAATAAAAACAAAAAAAATACCTTCTTATAATTACAACCTGATATGGGCATAATTAGTCATAAAAATCATGCATTATCTTAATATTTTATGTTGATTTTATCCCATATTATGGACAAAATGTGCTTAATTAGCTTAATATTTAAATTTCAGTAATAAAGATATGCTCGGACGGAAAAGGAAGCAGAACTAGCAATTGGAAGCTTGGAAATTGAAGTTTGAAGAAAGAAGGCTTAAATGAAGAAAAACTCGACGAGTTGGCCATCAACTCGACGAGTAGGTTAGAAGATTCCTGATACAAGGATGCCTTGTCGTACACGCGTATTAAGTGAAAAACTCGACGAGTTTATCTTAAAAACTCGACGAGTTGGTGCTGAATTTTGGAAATCTATACATATTTTGTTTATTCCCGAAACCCTAACACATTCTGGAGGCTTTTGGCGACTTTTGAAGATCAGAAGGGTTCTTGGGTGTTTTGGTTTTCGAGAATTCAACCTAGCAGTCAATCTTGAAGAGATCAAAGGCAAACAAACATTACTTTTATCTTAATCTTTTGTGTGAACTATGTTTGAATCATTAGATTTTGATTTTAGGATGATATTTGCTGTAGTTATGAGCTAAAAGCTTCATACTTCTGTTTAAATGTAGATGATCTTATGAATATGGTTTGATTGAGTGGTTTGCATTAATTTGACTTGATTATTTATCTTGTTAAGCTTGTTAAAAGATCCTTGCATGTTAATGATGATTATTTTCTGTTAATTA